CTGCAACAGGTGCTGCCCTTTTAATCACAAAAGCATTGAAATAATTTATAATCCTATATGCAGGTTTATATTTTGTGTTTTTGTGTATAATTGCTTTCGTGTCCTGTACAATTTTTGCTTTTTCTTTGCCTCTGTCTTGTATTTTCTACCTGTCTTGCAACTATCCTATTGTCTCCAGCGCCTCCCTTTTCTGGCAAGTCCTTATCATGACTGGATTCTCCTCTTTAGTTTCTGGTTATGAGTGAAAATGACCTTGGGATTACTGTACACAGTTAAGTACAAAATGTTTCATCTTGAATTGTGCATGATCCAGGCTTGAAGTGTATGGAGGCTACAGGTAATTTTTGAACCAGGTAATTTTGGCCACTTGCTCTTCTGTGCAATTATGAATAATAATTTGCCAAGTGTTTAATAATGTTTCGAGACAGCAAGATTAAAGAAGAGATACTAGCTAGAGTGAAATTTATTTTTCTCTCCATTTGTTAAGAAAAGAGTAAAGATAAATACTGCCCATTCAGTCTGATACTGTCCACTTGTTTCAAGGCTGATCTGGGTCTGTTTGCCTGCTACCTAGTTTAGACCAGAGCCTCTGTTTTGTTTCTACTGTCCGTAACTGCCTTGTCCTATGTTTGTACTGTGGCAAACCAGTGCGTAGTTTGAGGGGAACCATGTGAGGGTCAGCTAGAAATAGCAAGCATGAAGCAGGTGTCTGCTCTCCAGACCCTGCAGCTAAAACTATCCCATGTCTATACACATTTGAGGATGTATCATTTAGAAACATCAGATTCAGGGTGTGTGCTTAACTGCAGATGTGATATTATCCTCCCATTTCCTTTGCTAGAGAAAGACATGGAAAACAAGCTGTTTACTTTTGCTTGTAGTGGTGGAATTGTGACGATGTCTTTCTAAATTTGTGAGCTAAGAACAGGGAAGTCTTCAAAAAGGCTGCATAGCTAGCTTGGGCACCCAAGGGTATGTTTTGGGATACTGCTAAATTAAAAGGCAACCTCCTCTTATATGCCGTGAGTCTCATCGTTTGGAAGAAAAGGTCATTCTTACTCTGAGCCTTTTCATTTTCATTTGGCTCCCTTATTAAGGTTGCTAAAATGAGAAAGACTTTGCAGTGCCTACCTTTGCCCTCTCAGAGTTGGACAATCAAACTGACCTTGGACAAGTTCAAAGTTGCAGATGATTCTGTCCTTTTGTTTGTTTGTTTGTTTGGGTTAGTACATAAATCTCTGTGTGAGTGTATGTATGTATGCACAGTGTTTCAAGCTTAAGTAATATCCCCGCATTTCACATTATAGTAACCACCATTGTATACTCATTGTTTTCAACTTTAAATACTGTCTTTCAGTGTTGTAAGCCGGCTTGGGTCCTTTTCAAAGAGAAAGGCAGGATAAAAATATTTTAAATAAATATTTCTCCCTGGTCCTAAATACTCTTCTATGGCTTCCTTCATTGAGTCAGTGCAGTCTTTTCTTCTCCTCTTGCCTTCAATCTTTCTTAGCATCATTGTGTTTTCCAATGAATCTTGTCTTCTCACTGCCCTTTTAGGACCTCTTCTCAGGTTCTAGGAGCAGATGAATCTGTGGCCACCTCCAATGTGCCAGTGCTCCTCAGGAGGCCATATGGTCCCCACTGAGAATGGCAGATGTAGACCCCAATTGTATGTATTTCTGGAATATTACTCATGGTAAAGCCCAGATTAGCTACGTCCTGGGTTTGAGAAGGGAGATATGTGAAAGAATAAAAAGAAAAGTGATAGACTTCAGGTAGAAGAGATTATAGAAAGGGTAGAATTAGGATAGAGTCAGCACTTGGAAACATAACCTTTCTAAGATCTGGAGAAAAGGCAAGGCAGAGAGATGCTACTGCAGACCCGGCTCTTTGGAGGTATTTAGTTCTATCTCCCTTTTTCATTTTATGTCATGCCATAAAACCGTTGCTTAAAATAAAGCAACTACTACCCCTACTGTTTATTTTAGTGTACATAGAATTCTTTCCCTTCTAGCTTCAACTTGAATTGATACAGTCTGATGTAGAGTCATTGTCCTTGTTGATAAAACACTATCTTTTCTTCTTATCATTATACTAAGTGCCATGATGTCATTTATTCCCCTGCACAGGGAATGAACTGTTTTGGGTCCAAATGTTATGCTTTAATCATCTCACCTTGCTACAAAAACTTTGCAAATGGCAACAGAAGTTGTGCCCCAAATAGGACATCACCATTCTGTTGAGTTTTACAGCTGACCCTCCCCTTGAAAGTATTCTGCAAACAGATTTACTTTTACTTTGGAAACATTTGAGGCTGCAGTTCTAAGGTGGTGGAGCAACTATAGTTAGCAACAAATACAACTTTTGGATTGTATGTGTTGTTAACCTCTGTGTTACAGAATGCTGTCATGGACAATACATGAAAAGAAATGAGTAGGAAACCTTTCCAGAAACTGTCTTTATATCGTCGTCGTTTACTCGTGTCCGACTCTTCGTGACCCCATGGACCAGAGCACGGCAGGCCCTCCTATCTTCCACTGCCTCCCGGAGTTATGTCAAATTCATTCTGGTAGCTTCGATGACACTGTCCAGCCATCTCATCCTCTGTCGTCCCCTTCTCCGCCTTCACACTTTCCTAACATCAACGTCTTTTCCAAGGAGTCTTCTCTTCTCAAGAGATGGCCAAAGTATTGGAGCCTCAGCTTCAGGATCTGTCCTTCCAGTGAGCACTCAAGGTTGATTCCCTTTAGAATTGATAGGTTTGTTCTCCTTGCAGTCCAGGGGACTCTCAAGAGACTCCTCCAGCACCACAATTCAAAGGCATCAATTCGTCGGCGGTCAGCTTTCTTTATGGTCCAGCTCTCACTTCCATACATCACTACAGGGAAAACCATAGCTTTGACTATGCGGACTTTTGTTGGCAAGGTGATGTCTCTGCTTTTTAGGATGCTGTCAAGGTTTGTCATTGCTTTCCTCCCAAGAAGCAGGTGGCTGCTGTCTCCATCTGCAGTGATCATGGAGCCCAAGAAAGTAAAATCTGTCACTGCCTCCATATCTTCCCCTTCTATTTGCCAGGAGGTGAGGGGACCAGTGGCCATGATCTTAGTTTTTTGGATGTTGAGTTTCAGACTGTTTTTTGCACTCTCCTCTTTCACCCTCATTACAAGGTTCTTTAATTCCTCCTCACTTTCTGCCATCAGAGTGGTATCATCTGCATATCAGAGGTTGTTGATATTTCTTCCGGCAATCTTGATTCCGGCTTGGGATTCCTCCGGTCCAGCCTTTCGCATGATGTATTCTGCATATAAGATGAATAAGCGGCAGGACAATATACAGTCTTGTCATACTCCTTTCCCAATTTTGAACCAATCATTTGTTCCATATCCAGTTCTAACTGTTCCTTCCTGTCCCACGTATAGGTTTCTCAGGAGATCGATAAGGTGGTCAGGCACTCCCATTTCTTTAAGGACTTGCCATAGTTTGCTGTGGTCAGCACAGTCAAAGGCTTTTGCATAGTCAATGAAGCAGAAGTAGATGTTTTTCTGGAACTCTCTGGCTTTCTCCATAATCCAGCGCATGTTAGCAATTTGGTCTCTAGTTCCTCTGCCTCTTCGGAATCCAGCTTGGAGTTCTGGGAGTTCTCAGTCCACATACTGCTGAAGCCTACCTTGGAGGATTTTGAGCATAACCTTGCTAGCGTGTGAAATGAGTGCAATTGTACGGTAGTTGGAGCATTCTTTGGCACTGCCCTTCTTTAGGATTGGGATGTAGACTGATCTTTTCCAGTCCTCTGGCCACTGTTGAGTTTTCCAAACTTGCTGGCATATTGAATGTAGCACCTTAACAGCGTCATCTTTTAAGATTTTAAATAGTTCATTCCATCACCTCTACTGGCCTTGTTGTTAGCCAAGCTTTCTAAGGCCCACTTGACTTCACTCTCCAGGATGTCTGGCTCAAGGTCTTTATATAGAGAATATGAAAGACTGGAGAGCTATTTCATGAAAGTGTAACTCCATCATTGCTTCTAATTAACACATTCATTGATTTAGAATGAACACAACAACTTTACTAGCATTAATTCCACACACCTTCCTTTTATTTATATGACATTTTGCTGTAACTCCAACTGGCCTTAGTAGCTGGGGGAAGCCAAAAAAAGTTCATTTCGTGTCTTCACATCACCTACTGTACATGTTTCCTTTTACCATCCATCTGAATCTCACATTCTAAATAAAAGCGTTTGGCTTTTTTGTTCTGTTTTGTATTTTAAATACACAGATAGAACTGAGGCATTTGTGATAGACCTTGGTATCTTTTAAGGAGAAAGACGAGGTAAAATATTTTAAATAAATACATTTTCAACATTTTTTAATTTAAAAAATCAGTTTTGTGACACACGTTGCTTTCTACTCAAATACTTATTTGAGGAGGAAAAGTAGAAGAGGAAGTGTTCCTTGTGTTACTCACTAGTAACACTAGCCACAACTGCACCGATAGATGTAATTTAACAAAACGATGCGCTAAGGAATTTTGGGGTTTTCTTTCAGTGTTTGAGAATAAAGCTGTGGAATAGCATAATGATGATCATGCATATTATTCAGTTTCTTGTCCCTGTCTTAGTAGGATGTACGCTTTACCTTGTGTTCTAAAGCTCCAGCAGCCAGAACAAGGAGGGAAAGGGTTGAGAATTTTTTTCCAGCAATGCATTTGTGGCTGATGTGTCTGTGCCCTTGCGGAGAGATCACATGGGATGAATGCAATTTGCTGGGCCAGGCCTGTCCTTTTTTTTTTTCAACATGAAATCAGTAATACACAGAGAAACACTGTCCATAGGATAGAGAAGATACAGAAGAGGAACAAGTACATGCTCTCCACCCCATGCCTTGTATTTTATTACTAACAGTTAGTTGGTAAAATATAACTAAATATGTTAAAGTGAAACAACTACTACTTCTGCAGGTCCATTTCTTTTTTTTTTTAATTTATTTCTTTGCTTCCAGATTGCAAGCAGTCAATGAGGGAAGACGAGGGAACCGTGACTATAAACAGAAGAGGCGCAATCAAACAGGCAAAGATCCACTACATCAAAAACCATGAGTTTATTGCCACCTTCTTTGGGCAACCTACATTTTGTTCTGTCTGCAAAGACTTTGTCTGGTGAGGAGGGCAATTGTATTCTATCAATATGTTTGGATATACCTTTAGTCAGGGTGCAGAACTGAAGACTACCGTTGGCCATTTCTCTGCTCTGCTAATCCGGGTTTAGGAATGGAAATGAATGTAGTCAGAATTAGGATTCATGACAGGAGTTTCTATTTAGTACCTTCTGAACCCTGTCAAGAGATAGAAGCCAGCCACTAAGCTTCTCTTTGGACTCACCTTGTCAGCACAAGTCCCTCAAATATAAGAACAGGCAACACTGTTCCCTGCACTAACCCTTCCTCAAGTGTTGTCTGGGCTGTCTTCGAAAGCTTGATGGAATGGAGGATAATAATTAAACCCAAAACTGGTAGTTTTTCTTCCTTTATGTTGCCCATCATCAAAAAAGGCTACACTGCTCCCTCTCTGTTTTTTGCTAGTTACCAGTACTGCCTGATTTCCTTCAGCCAGCTGCTAAGCTTGCTGGGTTGCCACCTGTATTCTGGGGTAGGTGGGAGACCTCCATTGGGGTCCCAGAGGGTACCTTGCCTAGCTCTTCCTTAGACTTGGTGCTGACCCTAATAGTGGCCAGTGCCCTGTTTGACTTTACTTTCTACATAGTTGAAGTTGTGCTCACCTTCTCCCACTAGCAGAGAAATGTGAGGGCAGTTTTGAGAAACAGGAAGATATGCAACTGACCCTTCCAGAGATGGGTCTCCTTTTTCTCTCTCCCCCACATTTCTCTCTCTCCCCCACCCCCACAGTGCAGTTTTGAATGTATTTTTGGGTCAAAGCAGCCACTGCTGTAAAACCAAGCAGCAGTAAAAGAAAAATGTACCTTGGGCTGTGCTTCAGGGCACATTTTGTGCTCTGTTGCCCCACATTTTGAGCTGAATATTCAGTGTAGCAATATATACATTATTTAGTTTGTTATCCACTTGATCACAGACTTGATTATCTAAGAAAGTTGTTCCTGGGGTGGCATAAATGTATTAGCAAAGATAGGTATCATTGGCATGTTGATACTGCCTCATTTGAGAACTGATTTGTATCTTCCTTGGGAAAAGAAATATTTAATTGGAATGAATAAGTGTCATGAAGGAGGCTGCAGCCACCTCCTCAGGTTTGGTTGTGGGGATTAGGGGAGTAGTGATCCAGCAACGTACGACTCGCGTGCCTACAGAGAGGGCTCTACATGCCAGCTGTAGCACGCGTGCCATGGGTTCGCTATCGCTGCCCTAGAATATTAGATTGGCCTGTATCTCTGAAGTCCTCAATTCTGTTCTGGAAGGTTAACCACTTTCCCTCATTTCTTTTGCAGGGGACTAAACAAGCAGGGATACAAATGTAGACGTAAGTTGGCTCTATTGTCTTTTATTTGTGGATAGCGATAGGTGATCAGCAGCATTAACTGTTGTTATTTTTTCACTAGGGCAGGTGCTGGTAAAATCAAGATGTTACATCTACCATTATCCAGGCAGTCCTGTTAGTCTGCAGCCCTTAACTAACAAAACTGATGTGGTACATTAGGCCAATTTATAGTTAAATTCTAACAGTAAAGGCTTTTCCAAGTATTGTTACCACTGAAGTAGGTGAAATTATAAATACAGTACAAATGCTAAATGAAAACGATTAAAAAAAACCCTCTATACTGAAGTAGCAATGTTTATTTAAAATAAGTACAATTTTGGTACAAATCTATGCAGATCCCCCTTCCAGAGGATTAAACTTATCTCTATCTTTCTGTTACTGTTTCTCTTCTGAAGAATGCAATGCTGCTATTCACAAAAAATGCATTGATAAAATAATTGGCAGATGTACTGGTACTGCAGCAAACAGCAGAGACACAATGGTATGTAATACAGTGTTTTACATATTTGTTAACATAATTATGTATTTTATGTCATAGAATTAAAATGCAGCTCATAGTTGCATATTACACAGGCCACATATACTTATAAATACCTAAAGCCAAACTCTGCTTAAATCTTGATCATAGAGGCTAACGTCTCCAGAGATTCACCAAAAGCCAAACCATTTCCTGAACATTTTAGAAATGTTCAGGAGTGCTTTCAATAGAGACAATTGTACGAGTTGGTGGGTGGACTAATAACATTTTATTAAACTTGTGGCTTGTATCAAGCTTATAGGCTGATTAGTTCCATAAAGAAGAGATTTCTTGCTGTCTTCCCTTGATCAGTGAATTTGATTTTCTTCAAACTTTTGACATTTTGTCACTAAATGGATTAAAATTTAGTTTTAGTGAGAGGGACTTCCAAATATGTGTATGATTTCTTTTTTTCTAACATAAATGTTTCTTCAGTTTCAGAAGGAGCGCTTCCACATCGATATGCCTCACAGATTTAAAGTTTACAACTACATGAGTCCTACTTTCTGTGATCATTGTGGTAGTCTTCTCTGGGGACTAGTTAAACAAGGATTAAAATGTGAAGGTACAGTCTATTTCACTGAGGCATTAAAGGCATTTAGCAAAACAGTGGCACTGTTGAAGGGGAAGGGATGAGTTTCATGTTGTTCTTGGACTTGGTTTTTTTTAACTGTGTAATTCTGTTGCTATGTGCTGTTAAGTTGCTTCTGACTTATGTTGACATATAAATGAATGACCTCCAGAAAAGTCCTCTCATTAACAATCTATTCCCTATTAAGTCTTCTTTTCCTATGGCCTTCAATTTTCTAGCATTATTTTAATTTTCCAGTGAGTCTTTTCTCCTCATCATATGGTGAATGTATGATAGCTTCAGTTTAGTTATTAGCCAAACCTAAGGGTTACCTGAAAACCTTCAATGGTATTCAAAGAAAATACGAGAAAAAACAGATGGCCTCCATGTAAATGCTGTAGTTTATATTCTAGCTGTTATGTTTTTTTTCTTTCATATTAAGAGCAAAAGGAAAAAATCTTGAAGTCATTTTCAGATGCAGGATTTGAACGAATAATGCACCATTCAGGAACAGGAAAAGTAATAAATGCATTTTTCATGCTTCTCAATTGCAGTTATACTAATGCTATTAATACTTTAATTTCTTTTAGAATGTGGAATGAATGTGCACCACAAATGTCAAAAGAAAGTGGCAAATCTCTGTGGAATCAATCAGAAACTATTGGCAGAAGCTTTAACTCAAGTTAGTCAGGTACGTCTAGTTAGTGCTTGTCTTATATTATCCTTCCCTTATGAATATTTCTTTCAGGACTATGAGTTAATATAAATTACTTTTTCCAAGTTCTGGATACCTTGTAATCAGTATTATCCCACTGTTTCATGAAGATAAGGCAACTTGTCTACATGAATTTCAGATGATGTGCAAATTTATAGTAACATTTTGCTCATCGCTTTGTGGCTGAATTCGTGTTGCTTGGTATAAGAAAGTATATAATGTTCTGTCCGTTCCTAAAGAACAAATGAATAGTCCTTGACATGATCATTGAGAGTGCGTGTGCATGTATTAAGCCAGCACGCATGCGTGCACACTTGCATCTCCCAGAACCGTAATGGGGACACTTTTATTTGCCGGCTAGGAGCAGTCACCTCATACTCTGTGGCTGAAATCCTTTAATATAACTTAAACCTGTGGAATGATGGTCATGTCCCAGGTAGGAAGCAATTTTTGGTAATTAAAAACATCTGCTTCTGTTCCACACCTTTTCTGAATCCCCTTTATAATACGAGATCTTTCCCTGCTGGCAACATCATCCAGCAGTGACAATGTTTGGACTTCCATTTCCCATGGCTTGCACACAGTGAAAGGGATTGCACAGGAGTTGCAAAAGCCACGTGATAGAAGTAGGAAGATTTTAGTTACCAATATTTGCACACTGGGACATCAATACTATTTCACAAACATAAATTAAGAAATAGGATTTCAGCCACTGAATAAATTTTAAATTGCTAAATCAACTGCGTGTATAAATGTTCAAATATTACAATGTCCTTATTCAAATATTACACCATTGAAGAACTTTTATTCAGGAAAACATCTGTGAACAAGAATGCTCATCTTCTTTGCATGTTCTGTTCATCTAAGCTATTGCTGTATATTCTCAGTTGTTTTATTGATCAGAAGACTCAGTCTCTTGCATGACCAGCTTTACTTGTAGGGGGAGGATCCTTCCATCTATTAGAGCAGTGGTCCCCAATCTTGGGCCTCCACATATTCTTGGACTTCAACTCCCAGAAATCCTGGCCAGCAGAGGTGGTGGTGAAGGCTTCTGGGAGTTGTAGTCCATGAACATCTGGAGGCCCAAGGTTGAGGACCACTGTATTAGAGCTCATTCTTATGTCTGGGGGTGTGAAAATGGAAGGAAGCTGCTGTTCCAGCAGCCAAGAGCTTATGTGGTTGTAATGATCATCTGCATACACCAATAGTTTATTTCTTGCATATTCTATAGTTCAATGAATAGTCTAGTCCAGTATAATAAACATTGAATGTGTTGGGTTTCTAGATGTTTAGGTGTTTGCTGCTTAAAATAAAAAGCAGCAGATCTTTGCCATCTTTTGTGGTGACGGAAGAAAGTTTAAAAAGTAAAGAGATACGCATGAGATCTTTTTTCAGGTGAGAAAGATGTCACAAACAAAATTAATTGTACAGCATTTTATTTGTCATCAATTCATAAGGCAACAGCTATATCTACCAGCATTAGAATTCTTGGATAGCTAAGTGGTTTAAGTACCTGGCAATAAAACCAGACATTGTGAGTTCAATTCCTCACAGTGCCTCATTGACAGAGGCTGGACTTGATGGTCCATAGAGTCTCTTCCAGATTTGCAGTTCTAAGATGGTGGTGATGATGACGACAACACGACAAATTCATAGGCATGTCACTTCGTATGTGCTTTGGTTTCACAGATACAATCTCAATATTTAAAAAAAATCACACAGCTGCATAATGTTATTTTACCCTTACATTTTTTAGAAAATATTGTTCCTAGTAAGACAGGATGATGACCAACACAGTGAATATTAAAATCCTTCATTATTTATCTCTAAAGGAAATGTGTACACTCACTGCTCATATTACATGAGAAAACATATCCCGTAAAGCCAAAGAATGTAATTTAAAAGTTTGGACATCTTAGCATGAAGAACAAACTGGTAATTTAAGTGCTAAATTATTTTGAATGCTTGTTGTTTATTTTCAGAAATCTTCCAGAAAATCTGATTCCGGGTCAGTAGAAAGTGTTGGCATTTACCAGGATTTTGATAAGAAACCTAAATCCTTGGGTGGAGATACAACAGGTGAAGAATAAGTCTATTTTCTTTACCCTTTAGATGCGTACTTTAGGATTCCTGCATTGAGCAAGAGTTCGGACTTGACCTTATAGGCTCCTTTCAACTCTTTATTCTACAGTTCTGTGATAATTTAAATTGGCTGATATCTTATTATGCAGTTATGCAAATGGTGTAACTTTTAGAGGAAGATTTCTAAGTTAATAAGTTTCCATGGACCTTGTCTGTTGCACACTGAGTATCACAACTTCGTGTGGCAGCAGATAATATCTATAGAAATGCCTTAACTTACAGCAGCTTGGCTCTAAATGTTACGCTGTTCGTTTAACTGTACAATGGAACTTCAGCTGCTGACTTACAAACCACTGCTGCAATACAAACAATTTATGTTGCTCGTAAAAATACAACAGTTGTGCAAAAGGTAATGTTAGAATATGACTTCTTGGATATTACTTGGTTATGAGAGCTGCTTCTTAAGTCTTATACACCAAAAGGTATTGGTATATAACCAACCCATTTTCTTCCAGTTCCTTGAAGGTGTAAACAAAGTATTTTTTTTTAAAATTCTGCTTCTGTTCACCCTTGTTCATTTGCTCTTTCACACTTAATGATAAATATCTTTATTTTAAAGAATGGGAAACAGAGTCTATTTTTCTTCAAAGATTTGTTTTCCAGTAATACATCTAAAATGGGATTGCACTGATAGGACTTCAGGCTTCCTGGTTTCAAACCCTTCAGGTTGCACCTTGCTCCCTGTGATCCAAGAGGAAGACACTCATTCTCTAGGAAGGATGGAATCAATGACAGTAGATGGATGGGGGGGGGGGAAATGTAACGTTACCACTTCACAGATATAAAAATTGATATTAACATCAATAGATGACACTACTTGGCACAAACCCATCCGTCATTCTCACTTGGTTAGGACACAAGAGCATTGCATTAGAATTACACATTGCCCCTCTGAAATTCAGCTACTTTAGTAGGGAATCTTCAGTCAAGTATTGGGGAAATTGTAATCAAGTTGTGTCATACTTTCACATGATGTGGTCTTTTAAATTTTTATTGGGTGTTTTTAAAGGAATTGAAGTCAATTAACTTTTGCCAGTCTGGGCTTTATTCTCACTATTTGCAGGAGCTAATTCCACCTCAAATCATAAAAAAAAGATAATATCTTTCTGTTTAACTGCAAGATCACTAACAGCTGTTAATTGGAAAATGGGCAGACTAATTACATGGACATAATTGATTTTCTAAAATTGTGGCATATGTTCTAACAGATAAGTTGACCAAATAAATCAGAGCAACCGAAAAAAAGAGTCATTCTTCAGACGTATTCTTTCAGCCATGCCCCTATCAGTTATATGAGCTCAAATGATAATCAGTATCAAACTCATGCAGACTTTGGGATAGATTTATTTCATTAATATTTTTTTCATCATATAGGCATTACATGACTAGCAACCTTGTTATGTATTCTTGTTAACTGTATTTTACCTAAATCTTCAAGGGGAGGGAGGGGTTGAAAGGTGGCTTTCACTAAACCTGTTGAAATACAGTGGTGCCTCGCACAACGATTGCTTCATACAACGATGAATTCACACAGCGATGGGTTTTTTTGAGGAATTTCCCCCATCGTTTAACGATGTTCTCTATGGGGGAATTTCACTTAACAATGTCCCTTTTTGCTCATTTAAAAGTGTCTTAAAATGTTTGAAACCTGTTTTAAATGCTTGGATTCCATAGTGCACCTTGTGAAACATGTGCAAACTTAATTTGGTTTTGTTCTGAGTCTTCACTAATTTTTGGTGATTTTTTTATTTTCCCCATTTAAATCAATTGAATGGACAGTTCAATGCATTTAAATAGGGAAAACAAAAAATCACCAAAAATTAAGGACGACTCAGAACAACACCAAATTAAGTTTGCTTAGGGTTCAGGAGGTGGGCTAATGATTGCAAGCATTTAAAACCTGTTCCAAACATTGTAAGACACTTAAAAATGAGCGAAAAGGGACATCGGAAAGGACTTCAAAAGCACTGAAGCCGGCTTCAGTGCTTTTGAAGCTCTTCCATTTTTGCTCATTTTTAAGGGTCCTACAATGTTTGGAACAGGTTTTAAATGCTTGCAATCGTTAGCCCACCTCCTGAACCCTATGCAAACTTAATTTGGTGTTGTTCTGAGTCGTCCTTAATTTTTGGTGATTTTTTAAATTTTCTCTCATTGGAATGCATTGAACTTTCCATCCAATGCATTCCAATGAGAGAAAATTCAAAAAATCACCAAAAATTAAAGACGACTCAGAACAACATCAAATTAAGTTTGCATAGGGTTCAGGAGGTGGGCTAACGATTGCAAGCATTTAAAACCTGTTTGAAACATTATAAGGCACTTTTACAGGAGCGAAAAAGGACTTCGCAAAGCCATTGAAATGTATTGAGTCGGCTTCAATACATTCCAATGGAGGAAACATTGTTTCACTCAACAATGTTTCCTATGGGTTTTTTCACTTAAAGACTGCAATCCGTTCCAATTGGAATGGATTAACCGGTTTTCAGTGCATTCCTATGGGAAATGGTGTTTCACAGAACAATGTTTCACACAACGTTGATTTTTTTGGAACCAATTAACATCGTTGTGTGAGGCACCACTGTATTTTATATGTAGACATAAAGTGAAATGGTGAGTAGTGCTTTGGGTCCAAAGTGATTCAGGCAGAGCCTGTGGTTTGGGGACAGATATTTAATCGAACTATAAATTTTGGTGATTCGTTTTCAATATCATCTTCCCTAATCCATCATACTCGTTTGAGACATATGGGATTATTTCGTATCACATGAGGCTGCCTGAATATTGTGGTTCTTATCAGAGTCCTTTCCCTACCATCAGTGGTGATACAGGGACGGTTCTCTGATTGTGGTGCTTCATTTAATGGCATGTGCTCGCATGGAAACTTGCTAATAGTTACTTATTTGTTCCTCACTTTTCAGCTGTGCAATAAACAAAGTTGTCAGAACTGTGTCCAAGCAAATTCAGCTAAAATCTGATAAATAAAATAATGAAACCATAATAAAATACCACTAATAAAATCAACAGAAGAACTATGAACACGTTTATAATTATAAAACTGAAGTAAACCACCAGCAAAAGATATTAATACCAAGATCTGAGAGCACTAAAGCAGTTCTTAAAATGGCTGGGAACATTAAAAATACGTGATTTAAATTTAAAAAAGGCCCAAGGGGCAGCATAAAAATTATCTAAGTAAAACTCCTCCCACTGGCCCCATTGCTAAAATCGTAAGCAACATAGGTAGAAATGGAACAGTGCCTCAAAATTTCACTTTCTGGTTTTGGATCATATGACCTCTGATGTTTTGACATCTTCAATTTCCCCTTCCATATTTTCAATTCCTTATGGGAACAGACTCATCAGCAAGCCAATGTGGGGAAAGCAGGATTTCTCATAACTGAAAAATGTGTGTTTGATTTTAATCTCTTACAGATAATAGTGAATATGATAGGCTGTGGGAGGGAAGATCACTATCACGGCCGTCCAGGAGAAAATTCAACATAGACAGTTTTATTTTCCACAAAGTTCTTGGGAAAGGAAGCTTTGGAAAGGTAGGTAAATGGCAGAACTTCATCGTTTTTACATTTCGAAGGACTAGATAGTCCCTAGCCATATAATGCCTTGTGATGAGGGCAGGCAGTTACTAGTGCCCAGCATAAGAATGGGATAAGGTCTAAGGTTAGAGCACTCTCTTGGTGGTTTACAGCATAATTAAACAAGGAACAACTTGACCCCCTGGAAGCTGAGTTTTATCATCCTTGGAAGGATGGAAGACTGGCCTTGAGTCAAATGAAATACAGTGGTGCCTCGCATTACGACGTTAATTTGTTCCAGCAAAATCGCTGTAGAACGAAAACGTCGTAACGCGAAATTAAAAAGCCCATAGAAACACATTAAAACCCGATTAATGCGTTCCTAGGGGCTTGAAACTCACTGTTCAGCGAAGATTCTCCATAGCGTGGCCATTTTCGCTGCCTGTGCAGCAAGGAATCCGTCCCAGAAAAGAGCGGGGAGCCATGTTTTTTACCCAGCGGCCATTTTGAAACCGCTGATCAGCTGGCCGAAAATCATCACTTTGCGAGAATCGGTACCCGAAGCAGGGAACCGATCATCGCGAAGCGAAATACCCCCATAGGAAACATTGTTTTGCAATCACTTTTGCAATCGCAAAACCTTCAACGTAAAGCGATTTCGTCGTAAAACCTTCAACGTAAAGCGATTTCGTCGTAAAACCTTCAACGTAATGCGATTTCGTCGTAAAACCTTCAACATAAAGCGATTTCGTCGTAAAATGGAGCGCTCGTAATGCGAGGCACCACTGTACCTAAATCTGAACAGAGGCTGCAATAGTGCGGTTTAACCACTGCACCACAGGGCTCTATTGGTGGACATCTGCCACTGGCTGCCTTTCCCTGCCCGCTGTTCATCTCCCCTTAATTTTTCTCGCTACATTTTTCTTCTCAGTTCCTCTTCCAGCTCCATGAGCAGATTGGCCACTAAAAAGAGAGAAAAAGGGAGGTGACAATCAGCCAAAAAGTAGGAAAATAGAAGGTAAGAAAGAAGATCAGGAAGACAAAGGAAATCATCTTCCTTTGTCTTCTGATAGCTAGCTACAAAAGGGGACAAGACCAACCTAAGCATGCTCCAGAGCCACAGCCAGTTCCCCTAATTGCAAGCTCCTTTATTGAGTTCAATAAGGCTTAGCTAGTAAATTATACGTGAATGTTTTTGTGAAAGCAACTGACTATTGCTGAACTTGTGTATATCATTAATACTATGTGAATGTTTATGAACAGTGGCTCTTATGCAGCCTGTCCCACCTTGCGTGTAGGCATTTGTCACAGAAGGGGGGAAAAGAGGTAATATAACTCCTTTTCTCTGACTCACAGTGGCTGGTCTGGAAGCCCTGGAGGCTACAGCATTTTGAAGCTGAGCTGGTGTGAACCTGAACAGTCCTTTGAATGGCTAATCACTAGGAGGCCTATGTGGGAGGGGGATATAATAATTTTGTAAAAAGTGTGTGTGTGTGTGTGTGTGTGTGTGTATTTTTGCATACCACAATTTATTTAGCTGTAGAAAAGCTTTGTTCTCTCTACTGATGTTGTGTTAGGAAGGAACATCAAACAATGTATGCAGCTCTGGACCACAGTTCAGAAAATTACACTTCTAAAGGAACTCATTGAATTAGTTGCTTTTCTCATTACTTCTTGGCCAGCAGATTGCCTTTATTGTTATTGTTCCTCTGATCACTCAAGTAATTTGTCAAATTGCACATCTGATAATCTCTACCTTAAACTCTAAAAGCTTAGGCTATGATCAGTGTTTGGAATTCAAGATTACACTACACTGTGAAGAATTGTACAAAAGGACATGATATCAAAATAGTAGCACTCAGATCACAAAGTGGGAGATTTGATCAGGATTTTATCAGTTGGACGGCCCCAAAAATCAGCCTTACCATTTTTATCCCAAAGTACTGTAATCTTCTGCTTTACAGGTGCTGCTTGCTGAGCTGAAAGGGAAGAATGAATTTTTCGCAGTAAAAGCTTTGAAAAAGGACGTAGTGCTAATTGATGATGACGTGGAATGTACTATGGTGGAAAAGCGGGTCTTAACACTTGCCTGGGAAAATCCCTTTCTTACCCACTTATATTGCACTTTTCAGACTAAGGTACAATGCAGTCCCTAATATTTCCTTTTAATGTGACTAATGAAGTAAAATATATTGCTGATGACCTATTTGAAGAGGAGGACACCACCAGCAATGGGAAACCTGTGGTCCTCCACTGTACTGCCACTCCCATAATTTCTCACACTAACGGGCTGATGAGAAGCAGAGTTCAGTAATATCTGAAAGGGTTTCCAGGTCCTAATCTACCCAGGCAGTGCAGGAGAAAAAAAACACTCCTTCTGGAGACAGGCCACCTTGTTGCGAAGTTGAAAAGAGTAGCAGACTACGGCCAAATTATTGCCAAATTGAGCAACATAACAGTGGGTAAAGTTTCTGGAAGTTATCATTCATTTACGTCCTATTAGTATTGTCACTCTCTGGGTAGTTCACAATGTACAATATAATTAGACACTAAAAGCACAATATAATAAATTCAAAAATACAATAACATGCAATAAACCATGTCACTAGCTAAAAACTATGTTTAAGTAAAAAGATACAAACGTTGGGAAAATGCTAAGGAACCAAATGCTGGCAGTTTCAAGGATATTTAAAAATTTTGTATAGATCATAATAGTCTTTTGAAACAGTTCTTTAATATGTGCACAGAATGTCTCAAATACAGTTCAGAATTTCTGCAATTACTTCAGAAATGGAAGCACATATGAAGGAACACTACTGCTTCCCCAGACTACTAATACGACACTAGCTATCCAGGACTTGGTTTATTCATTGCTAGGTAGAGAATAGTAAAATTAGAAGAATCTGAAATCTCCAAAGGGCGAGTTCTGGGGTAGAAACACACATGGTTTTAATGCAGGTTGTAAGTAAGGCTGTTTCACTGGTTATCTCCGCACTGGGCACTTTCGGTGGAATGGATGCTCCCTAAGAACATCTCTCCTACAAAACAGCTACCTGTCCAACTTGTTCCTCACACTCATTATTGTTAAAAACAGCAACATCTAAGGAGGTCAGGAAAGACCTCCTATTACTAATAGGTAATTTGTAATTCTATTACCAATAGAAATCAAGCCTTTTTGATGGTGGCTCCATATTTGTAGAATTTACTAGTAGAGATTTGACAGGCACCCTCCCTCCCAATTTTCAAGAAGCTACTTAAAATGGAATTGTTCAAAGCTGCTGTTTATTAATGTGTATCATTTGATGTCCAACTGTAGTTTAAATTTGTTTACTGAGATTCGGCAACTACATATACGTATTAAAAAGCATTGGGGTGATAACCAATAGTTGCAGGACCCCATAGCAGAAATTCTAAGTGGTGGACAGTGCCTCACCAAGCTGTAACATCTGGGAACTGTCTTTGAAGAATGACTGGAACCACTGAAAAACAGAGCCTCCAAATCCGAAACTTAATAGCTGTCCCAGAAGGATCTGGGATCAATGGTGTCAGAGGCCACAGAAAGATTCAGAAGGACCATCAGGGTTACACACTCTTCCTGTCTGCCTCTCTCAGTAGACTTCCTGTTGTTTTTATCATTTTCATAAGATCACTTTGATTTGCATTGTTGCAAACTATCTTGAATGATGCATGTATAGCAGAGGGTGGGTTATAAGTTTTCTAAACGCATAAAGGAATATATGTACAAAACTGCTCATATGAGTTTCCAGCCAGAGGCTGCTCTCAGTATGTGACTGGAATCACTCAACCCCATGTTCATGGTGAAGATATAGTTAGATCAGTTGGCTAATGCTGTTGGCTGATGCCTCTCCCTCCCCCCCCCTCTCTGTGTGTGTGAGAATAGGACCATCTGTGGAAGAAGATGGAGTTTCTTAGAGGTGGAGATCTGATGTACCACATACAAGACAAAGGCCGTTTTGAACTCTCCAGAGCGACGTAAGTGTTGTAGGGTTCTTTGTTTTTTTGCCTGCTCCTAAAACATGTACAAACCTCAGTGTTTAAGATTCCATGTGTTGTCCACAGTACTTATACAGCATGACAGAAGATGTTGTAACCATATTTCAAGCAACTGTACCTCAAGACTTAAGGACTGAGGTACTGTTACCATACTCAGATTTGTAAACAGATTGGAATAATTGAACTTTCAGGAAGTATCTTAAGAGTTGCAAGTGATACAGAGAAAGCAATTAATTCATGGCCAAAATCCTATTGGCAGCTTACACATGCATAATTGAAATCACAGCAGTGAATTGCTGCTAATTAAGACAATGCTAGTATCGTTTCAGGTTGTCTGCCCATCATGACCAGGAATGCATAAGTGAAATCACAGCAGTGAATTGCTGCTAATTAAGACAATGCTAGTATCGTTTCAGGTTGTCTGCCCATCATGACCAGGAATGCAAGTTGCACACTGTTGTCACTGGGAATTTGCAACCGTGACTTCAGCTATTTCAGTTGTAGATGTGAAAATTGTCATGAGGATTCTGGTCCATATTTCTTAGGGAGAGAGAGAGAGAACTTGGCAGCATTCCCAGTCCTGTGCATGTGTTCAACCCTGCAGTGCCACTGCAGTAACCCCATTTCCCCCTATCTTAGAAGGTCTAGCCAGCTGTACCTGTCACCAACAGAGCAAATACCACCACTTTCTTGCTAAATCTTTCAAGTTTGTTTGTTTGCTTGTGTAATTTAATTTAATTTATATATCGCTCCCATTAGTGCTGCAGCACTCCTCTGGGTGGTTCACATTAAAATACACAGTCATCATAAAATCATATTTTAAAAAACATATAATGATCTAGCCACATGAAGACAAGAAGTGCCAGAGCAATGATGAAACTTAGAAAAAAATAAATCATGAACATAAAAACAACACTAACTGGATGGAGATAATACTTGCCAGTGCAATGAAGCAGCCAGTTGAGCTGGCTGAACAGCTTAGTGAGGTGGAACACTTGGAACACTCCCAATGCTGGGAGTTCAGTTCCCCCGCTGTGCCTCCTGGAAGAAGAGCCAGCCTGTGTGGCTATGGGCAAGCTGCACAGTCTCCAGAGGTCTCCTGGAGAAGGGAGTGATAAACCACATCTGTGTATTCTACCTAGAAAACCCTGGAAAAGATCACCATATGTTAGAATTGACTTGACAGTGTGTTGTTGTTGAAACAGCCCATTGGTATGACTCCAAGGTGATCTTCACCAGTTGCCTCATAGCTTTGATCATAGCAGTGACATTGAGGAGTGTCACTCTTTGCTTACTTTAGAGCTACATTCTGCCAGGTAGACCTGAGCATGTAATGAGAGAGAAATTTCTGAAAATGACTGGGGGTGGGGAACAGTCACCACTCCACCATTTGGCTTAATAAAAGGCAATTAAACTTCATTTCTTATTTTAAAACGTTTTTGCTCTTTTTTCAGATTTTATGGAGCTGAAATACTGTGTGGCTTACAGTTTCTTCACAGTAAAGGCATTATTTACAGGTGAGAGCTGAGTGACCTTGTTAAGAGCCTTGTAAAACCCTTATGTCTTGGCTGATAAATCGGTGGGTTGTGCTATTAACCTGCAAGTCATGTATTTTACAAGAAACTGTTCCCCATTACAGTTCTGATTTTATTCCAAAGGTGTTAAAAAGAGGCAATTCAGCAAGCCCTTGAGACCAACCTATAATTGTTTTCTTTTCTCCTTGGCAACAAGAAGAAAGAAATGTTATTTACATTACACAGAAGGATCTTTGTTACACATTCCTCATTGCCAGGCACTTAGGCACAAAAACTGAGATACTTTTTGTCTTCTTTTTGTTGGCAAAGGAGACTGATAATATTTTGGCCAGAGTTTCATTTCTTGTTAAAAGTACTGACTAAAGTGCTTCACTCTGAATAACAAATTATGGAGAAGTCAGAAGTTAAAAATGATTTCTCTTACAAGAAAATTAAGCTGTGAGCCAAATTTAATCATCTTTTGGACAAACTCTCTTTGTGGATAGAGTTAAAAATATACTGGCTTTCAGGTCCTCCCCCACCCCACCCCCACAGAAGGAACCTTTCAGTTTTCACTTTGGAAACATAATTCTACAGCCACAAGAACAGCTGCATAGTTAACACAACCCTATTTTCCCTGTTAGTATCTTAGAACTACAGGGTTTGAAGGGAACCTATGGATCATCTATGCAAAAGACCTTTGTCTCGCATATACATTGATACAGTTGCTCCAGTACTTTCTGGAAGAACAGATGTAGTATTCCTGCTCTTGACCATTGGTCTTTGGGATGTTTTGTCCTCCATTCCTGCCCCCCCCATGACTGAGCAGAGATTTGAACCCAGGCCTCCTGAGTCCCAGCCCATTTCTTTCCACTACACCATAGAGGGTACAGCATATAGGGTATCTGTTCCAAAGTTTCACAATTATGACTGTGTCTCTCCTCAGCCTGAAATGTAGTACAGAGAATCTACCTAGTAAGTAAGGGCTGTAATCTGTTGAGATGAAGAATGACTGAGATGGGCAAAGGTTATTTGTTTGTTTGAACATTGAAAGTCAGACCTTGGTTTGTGACCATTTCATGTCCATCTCATGTAGACCTTCACTTTCTGCATTTGCTGATTTAGGCCATGTCAAGTACTTTACTGAAGATTGCTTCCACTGCTTTGCTGAAATATGTTGTGTATTCCTAAAGTTATAAATAGAGATGGGAACGAAGAGCCAAAATGGTGCTTCATCTTGGTGCGGGTCATCAACCTTGATGACCCACGAATTGCCCCCCCGTGCCATGACAAGCCACAAATCAATTTGTCAGTTCATCAGGTTTTCTTTTTTTAAAAAAAAAAAACCATGGGGCTATCTAAAACAAAAGAGCCCCTGTCCCCCACCCCCTTCCCACTGTCACCTTGCCCAGCTGCCTCCTCCTGCGCCGCGGTGGTTTCCACTTAAACCGAAGCGACATGGCTAGAACCATGGTTTCAGTTTCAGCAGCCTAGCTTTTCCTAGGAGCAGTGGGGAGGGCTTCCGTTAGGGCAAGCCTGACTTTAGCGATCCCCCTGCTGCTGTCTTTGCACAGACAGCAAGTGGGGGGATTGCTTCAGTCAGGCTTCCCCCATCTTTCCATGCCCAGGTGGGCATAGAAAGAGAAGGGAAGTGAGACCCAAGTGATCCCCCACTCCTGCTGTCTTGGCAAAGACGGGGGGGGGTGTTGCTTGGATCAGGCTTCCCCTGTCTCTCTATGCCTGGGCAGAGAAAGATAAGTCAGACCCAAAGGATCCCCCACCCCCACTGTTTTTGCAAAGACAGCAGGGGTGGGGGATTGCTTCTGTCAGGCCCCAGGCGGGCATAGAAAGTCAAGGGAAGCCTGATAGCTTGGGTCCCACTTCCCTTCTCTTTCTATGCTCACCAAGGCATAGAAAGACACAGGAAGCCTGACCCAAATGATCCCCCACCTTGCTGTCTTTGCAAAGACAGCGAGGAGAATTCCTTTGGTCGGACTTCCCCTGTCTCTGCCGCAGGTGCATAAAAAGACGGGGAGCCTGAGCAAAGTGCCCCCCTCTGCCTTTGTAAATGGGGATGGATGGGATTCCATTCGGGCAGGCTTTAGCAAGCTGCCCAAAGCGAAAACCCCTTTCAACTTATGCCCCCGAGGAGCAGCTCATTCCGCGGGGACATAAGCAGATAGGAATAGATGAAGGGACAAATATAAAAGGGTTACGTTTGTTGCTTCGTATTCTGCAGGGTCCTTGGACTTCAAGAATACGAAGCAATGAATATCTGATGAATCAGCAATATTCACTGAATACCGTGACTAGTTATTATAGTTGTCCCCATACTTGTCTTATAAGTATTTATGGTTCCCATTTTGATCCATCATTTATCTAAGAGCAAGTCATGTGTACCTCTTTGCTTTGCTGAACAGGAGGTCTCCTCTGCAAAACATGAAATGAATCCCAAAAGAGGATTGGTTACTGCTGGACTAAGTAAGCAGCAACAATAGAAGAACCCAATAGAAGGGTGGAAAAGAGGCATTACAGGATATGCACGAGGAATAGCGTGCTCATGTGTGGGAGAGGATGTTGAATTCACATATTGCTATTATATCAAGTAGCTTCTGACTAATGGGAGCCATATGAATTAATCATGTCAAAAAAAATCTCAATCATTAACAGCCCATTTAGATACAGTAGTGCCTCTCAAGATGAAAGTAATTTCTCAGGAAATGGGTAAGGGGATCAGGCACTCCCATTTCTTTAAGGACTTGCCATAGTTTGCTGTGGTCCACACAGTCAAAGGCTTTTTCATAGTCAGTGAAGCAGAAGCAGAAATAGATGTTTTTCTGGAACTCTCTAGCTTTCTCCATAATCCAGCGCATGTTAGCAATTTGGTCTCTAGTTCCTCTGCCCCTTCGAAATCCAGCTTGTACTTCTGGGAGTTCTCGGTCCGCATACTGCTGAAGCCTACCTTGTAGGATTTTGAGCATAAACTTGCTAGCGTGGGAAATGAGTGCAATTGTATGGTAGTTGGAGCATTCTTTGGCACTGCCCTTCTTTGGGATTGGGATTGGGATGTAGACTAATCTTTTCCAATCCTCTGGACACTGCTGAGTTTTCCATTAATGATGAAAAAAATAGCTCACTGGTCCTTTGATATTGGGCTGTGGCACCAGGGTGGGTGACATGACCTTCAGCCTGGTTTGTTCCTTTTTGCACACCACACACAGAATGATTAAAGTGGTAGGAAAAGCCCCCCCCAAAAAAAAAACCCTGGGGTTGGCGTTTCCTTGCAAGCAC